AAAAGAATCTTGTTTTCAAAAATAGCTAGTTTCTCTTCCCGAACTACGCAGGTTTGATTCTCATCGGATGTGAGATACGTAGACAACCCTCATCGGGTCCAACTTCTCCTTTTGCAAAAATAGCCAAAAATGTCAAATTTTAATTTTCGTCATAAATAAGTTGGGTGATGCCGTTTTGTCAAAAATAGCCGATTGTCCCCAAAAGGGACGCCGGAAGGCCGATTTTGCATAAATAGCCACCTTTGGTCATTTTTAAGATTTTGATCGGTTAATCCACACAGCCTTAAAATCTTTATCTCCGAAGTGCTGAAAGGTCGTGTTTGAAAAACCGGGTCTTTCATTTTAGTTTGGAAAAAAAAATAGTAGTTTTGTTTTGAATCAAATAAATTTACCTTTTTCTTAATCACCTTAATAAATGTGCAGGATTGGCACAAATGTAAATGAATCTTTCACCATACTTAATGAGGTCCCCCTCCAGCTCCACATGTGGTGGAATAATCTGGGAGAAGGCAACAAAGAAATAGTGGCTAGAATCCTGGGAGGTCTTGTCGGTCTACTAAATGTCAAGCCAAAGTCGGATGTCATCGAGGCCTTAATACCATTTTGGGACCCGACCCGCAATGTGTTTCGCTTTGGGGGTTTTGAGCTTACGCCCACGCTGGAGGAAGTCGCGGGTTATGCGGGTCTGAATGGAAATATGAGGGGTCAATATTTGTTGTCACCAAGACCGGTATCTCCGCACAAATTTTTGGATTTGCTAAACATCAGCCGGAGTGTTCAGAATGATGATTTGTCGGGAGGATGTTGCACTCTTCAGTTCCTGTATCAGCGTTATGGTAATCCTCGAGGTTTCGAAGAACCAAATCTGGGACTAACCCATGCTGGGAACAGAAGTAAATGGGAAGCAAGACGAACCTTGGCGTTCATAACGGCATTCTTGGGAATCGTGATTTGTCCACGAGTAGATAAGAAAATAGAGACAGGTCCCGTAGGGATGGTTGATGTTGCAATTAAAAGGGCAGATAGCACTATAGTTGCCCTGATTTTGTCAGAAATTTACCGAGCATTGACTGTTTGCAGGGAGGGAGGACATTTTTTCCAAGGTTGCAATTTATTACTTCAGTTGTGGATGCAAGAACATCTGTGCCATCGGGCGGGGTATATGAACTATAGGCTGACTGGGTTAAGTTGAATCGAAGAATTTGAAAAACGGGTAAGGGGTATTGCATTTCCCGAGGGTACCGAAGCTTGGCTTATACGACTAAGGTCATTGACTGCCGATCAAATTGAATGGGCATTTGGGTGGTTTCCCGTTACCGAGGTGCTATATATGTCAGCAGGAGAGTGTCATATTCTTTTAATAGGTGTTCGGAGTATCCAACCGTATGCTCCCCATCGGGTACTACGCCAACTGGGAAGGTTTCAAGTCATCCCCAAAGATGAAGACTTGAGTAAGCACGTCATTGAGTTAAGGCTGAGAGCCACATTCCCGGAAGATAAAATTCGCAAATTGTGGAACGAATGCTGGTTCCTCGAGCCTAAGACTATGGTCCGAGATCTGGCTAAAGGTGAGGTGGACCCGAAGTATAATGCGTGGTTTGGGAAAAGGTTACAGATTCTCCAAAGGCCCGCCAAAAGGGCCCATGTCCAACAGTTTACTAATGATTCACAAGAGCAATGGGGTTGGTTAGCAAAAGAAGAGAGTTACAGGGCAGAAATAGGCAAGATGAAGCAACAGATTAGAGACCTAGAATTTGAAAATAGTCTGCAAGTTGATGCCAATCAGGGAGAAAAGAACAAATTGGCCCAAGAAAATGAGGCGCTGAAAGCCCAAATCCGACAAATGAGGATAGATGCTGACAACCAACAAAGGAGTCGATCGGATGAGCGGTTAATAAAATGGTTGAAAAAGGAAATCAGTAAGTGCCGGGATGATTTGATGAAATCTGAGGGTACCATAGCACAACTCCAGGCACAATGGGCAAAAAGAACAAAAGAGCGCACACAGTACTTACAACAGGCGAGGAAGGATTATGAAAAGACCATTGCCAGTCTAAAAAGGAAGGTGACCACCCTAGAGAGCGAGGCGACTAAACAAGCCAAGGCTTTTGAAACCAAAAGTGAACACTGCTATGATCTAATGGCCTTGATGGAAGATGAAATACAGCAGTTACAAAAACANAACATCTGCATGATTCTCGGGTTTTGAAGGCTAGAGGGGATCAGATAGAACGCCTATTCCTAGAGAAAGACCGAACCAGGGACAAGATTTTGACTATTGCTCATGCTATTACCAGGAAATGTCGGGTGTGTGAAAACATGACCCGCACTACTTTCTTCTCGGCAGTGATGATATTTGTGAAACAAATCATGTATGAATTGGAACAGTTACACCTAATCCCGCGGCAAGGCCGAATGACGCCCCGCGGGCACCCAAATTTAAACTTTAATGTATTCGTAGTTCGAGTCTGCAATTTCTTTTTCCTTAGAGTCTGTTGTCTGTTAGAGTCTGTTTTTCCTTTTGCATCAGAGTCTGTCAGAAGTTCTTGAGTTTGTACTTAGTTTGGTTTCGAGTCTGTTATTTTCCTTTCCGAAAACGTCTAGTTTGTAATAGAATGTTTATTAATGAAAAATCGAAAATTTCCAAAAATTGTCTCTTTGCTTTTCGCATTTATTTCGATAGAACTACGCACGGTCTAATTCATGCGGGGACATGATACATAGGCAATCTCTATAGGATTCGACCACCACTAAAAAGAAAAAGGGGAAATAAAGAAGGATATAATAAAATAAGCTTAAAAGAAGGGGCACTAGTGTTGAGGTAGAGGAGTTGGACGTCAATAAAATGAAAGAGGAGATGTTCAAGCTTAA